CTACCAAGTAGTTGGGACTACAGGCGCGTGCCACCATGCTCAGCTACTTTTTGTATTTTTAGTAGAGACGGGGTTTCACCATGTTGGCCAGGATGGTCTCCATCTCGACCTTGTGATCCACCTGCCTCGGCCTCCCAAAATGCTGGGATTACAGGCGTGGGCCACCGCTCCCAGCCTAAGTATAAATATTTTCATCCTCATATAATAAAAAAACTGAGGTTGGAAAAGATCACAATTACTAAGTTTCAGAGCTAGAATTCAAATATACTTCTCACAGGTCCAGCGTTCCTTCTACTCTTTTAAGCTATGAAATTCTATACATTTAATTAGGCAACTGGACAAAAATATACACAAAAAAGTGTTTACTACAGTGTTATTTACAATATCCACAAATTGTAAATAACCTATGTGTTAAAAAATTGAGGATCAAGATATGGCACACTCATACAACTATTATGTAAAGATGCGCTGTGGCATGTACCTGTAGTCCCAGTTAGAAAGCAGAGGTAGGAGGCCCCCTTTGAGCCCAGGAGTTTGAGGGTACAGGGAGCTACAATGGCACCACTGAACTCCAGGCTGGGTGACAGAGCCAGACCCTGTCACAAAAAAGAAAGGAAAGAAAAGACAGAGAGCCGGGCGTGGTGGCTCAAGCCTGTAATCCCAGCACTTTGGGAGGCCGAGGCGGGTGGATCACGAGGTCAAGAGATCAAGACCATCCTGGTCAACATGGTGAAACCCCATGTCTACTATAAATACAAAACATTAGCTGGGCATGGTGGCGCGTGCCTGTAATCCCAGCTACGCAGGAGGTTGAGGCAGGAGAACTGCCTAAACCCAGGAGGCGGAGGCTGCGGTGAGCTGAGATTGCGCCATTGCACTCCAGCCTGGGAAACGAGTGAAACTCCGTCTCAAAAAAAAAAAAGAAAAGACAAAGAGAAAGAGAGAGAGAAAGAAAGAGATAAAGAAAGAAAAAGAAAGAGAAAGAAAGAGCATCATACTAAAATGAAGAGGGAGACCTAAGCATCTAAGCCCACCTCCCCCTTGACTTCCACATTTCATTTCAATAGGAGAAGTAAAAGCTGGCAGACTGGTGCCACCTTAATCACCCTCCTATAAATCTCGGGGATGGTATGGAGGAATCTTTCAGGAAGGCATTGTTTTTACTTAAACAGGATCAAATCCCCACCCCATGCCTACTCCATGGACCAAGACCCTTTCACATGTAATTTCTAAAGCTGTAAACCCAAGACCCTTTCACACGTAATCTTTAGAGTTGTAAACCTTTATGAGGGCAGGGTCTTTCTTTGTTAGATGAGATTGGCTATGAGGCAGCTATGCCGCCTTGCTTCCGGCCAAATAAATCACCCCTTCCTTCCCAGTTCTGAGAGGTTTGTTTCTTGTGGCCGTTCCTGTTTTAAAAACATTTATACAGGCCAGGCGTGGTGGCTCACGCCTGTAATCCCAGCACTTTGGGAGGCTAAGGTGAGCAGATGCAAACAGAAAACACTGTATAAATACAGGCCAGGCGTGGTGGCTCACGCCTGTAATCCCAGCACTTTGGGAGGCCAAGGCAGGTGGATCACGAGGTCAGGAGTTCAAGACCAGACTGGCCAACATGGTGAAACCCTGTCTCTATATTTAAAAAAATAAAAAACATTTATACATTACTACTAATAATAGATTAAATGCACTTTTTTTTTTGAGATGGAGTCTCGCTGTTGCCTAGGCTGGAGTGCAGTGGTGTGATCTTGGCTCACTGCAACCTCTGCCTCTTGGGTTCAAGCGATTCTCTTGCCTCAGCCTCCCGAGTGGGATTAGAGGTGCGCCCCACCATACCCAACTAATTTTTTGTATTTTTAGTAGAAACAGGGTTTCACCATGTTAGCCAGGCTGGTCTTGAACCCTTGACCTAGTGATCTGCCCACCTTGGCCTCCCAAAGGGCTGAGATTACAGGCGCGAGCCAATTCGCCCAAACTAAATGCACTTTAAATGCTTACCATGTGCTGAATACAGGGCTAAATTTATTTTACATGTATTATCTCATTTAATCCTCACAATAACCGATCTGCCCAAACCCTTGCTGTTAATAATGCCGCAGAAACTGACAGGTATTAAAATTCAGAGCTCATGATCTTAACCACTAGATCACGCTATCGTTAAGTACAAAGACCTTTCATAATCAGAAACATCTATGGGATACTTTAAGAAAATTCTGTTCAAACTTCTCTTGCCCAGGTCTCTGTATTTCCGTAACAAACTGTACGTCTTACAGCACTTGCTTGGGTTCATTTATACACCTCTAACAGATCCTACGCTCCTGCCGCCTTAAATGTAAGCCCACTTTCTATTTTTCACAGCTCCTGGTGCACTGCTTTTTACTCTGCAGGCGCTCATTACTTGTTAAACTGCATGTGCCTTTAACTTGGCTTGGGGGACGTTAAATAGAAGATTAGCGCTCACACAGTATTAAGAATTCCTTTCCAAGAAATGTACTCGCGTCAACACAAGGTCTCTCTGTCCATGATCCCCCGAAACCATGGTTTCCTTGCCTTCACCTTGATCCCTCTGCCCTGCCAGTTCCTCCCCACCAGCGGGGCCGGGAGCCCGGCGATTCCCTAGGTCGCGGGTCCTCCCTTGCGTGACCGAGCGGCCTCCGCGGCCGACGGCAGCCCACTCCCGCCTTTGCTCTCAGGCACCGAACATGGAAGCGGCCGTGGCGGGTCTCTGCTGGGGCACCACCGCCCCGGACGCCCGTAGCCGCCCGCCCGCCGGAAACCGACATCTCGGGTCCGGGCAGGAGCGGTTTGCGCGGCGAGGAGCAGAGCGGCGGGAACCCAGAAAGCTGCTCCGCATAGGAGCTGCTGCCCGAACTCAAGATGGCGGCCCCGGGCGGGCGTGGCCAGTGACTGGGAGGCGAGGCGGCGAGTGACCATGGCGGCTGTCGACGAGCGGAGTCTGGAGGACGAAGAAGAGGAGGACGAGGAGGTAGTAAGCGCTACGCCGAAAGCCTGCACCGCCGTGGCGGTGATGCCTTTGCCGGCTGTGTGTGGGGAAGGGCGTCCGGGCGCTGCCGGCGGGAGGGAGGCCCCGCCGCGCCTCAGTGGCTTCTTGCTCCTGGGCGCGGGGAACCGGGCAGCGTGGGACCTCAGCCCTAATCGTCACCCCGTACTTAGGATGGGAAGTACTGGGAAGTTACCTTAGGTAGCGTCGCTTCCTCTTGTTGAAAACACGGTCCGGTTTTCACAAAGGTGGGATTTTTGGCTTCTTTTGCTAATTGCCTCCTCCTGCCCGCTCGCGTGCTACCATGTTAACCCCTCTTTCTTTCACCAGGAGCAGTTGGTTCTGGTGGAGTTATCAGGAATCATTGATTCAGACTTTCTCTCAAAATGTGAAAACAAATGTAAGATTTTGGTGAGTTTTCTAGACTTGGGGATTGTTCCAGAGTTTCTTAAATGTAAAACAAGAATGAATGGTGAAATACCTGTCCACAAGCATTGATATATTTATTTCACCTTACAAAGCAGTGAACTCTAAGAATAAGCCGTACGCTAAGTATAATGAATTCATATATAATTAAGTATAATGTAGAAGCCCAGAGGGGACTATGGGAGCAGATAGGAGAAAATGTCCACTTTGCTTGCCTGTCTCAATGTGTGGCTGAAGAGAAAGTTAAAGATTTGGAGGAGTAACATTTTGGTGTGGAACAGTACGTGTATTCCTGTCATCTCAGCACTTTGGGAGGCCGAGGTGGGAGGATCACTTGAGCCAGGAGTTGGAGACCAGCCTGGCCAACATAGCGAGACCCCCTCTCTACAATAATAATAAAAAATTAGCTGGGCATAGTGGCATGTGCCTGTGGTCCCTGCTGCTTAGGAGGATGAGGTGGGAGGATTGCCCAAACCCTCATGGTCAAGGCTGCAGTGAGCCATGACCATGCCACTGCATTACAGCCAGGGCAATAGAGCAAGACACTGTCTCAAAAAATAGATAGATGATACATAGATTAGATAGACTCTTTGCACTAATGTTGACAAAACTTCCTCTGTCCTTAGCTTACTCTTGAAGAGGATATTGACTGAAATAGACCTTGTTACTTTAGTATGAATTAAGGAGTCTTCAGGTTGCAGCTGCTGTGATCAGAGCAGTTGTAATTTATCCTGTACTTGGTAGGACAAGATGCTTTAGAGGTTCCCCAGTTTTGGAGATTAGTTTCCTTGGTAGCAAGGTTACAATGTTGAAGCCTTTTTCTAATGATGTTTTTTTAATGATCTTTTATTCTGTTGTAGGGCATTGACACTGAAAGGCCCATTCTGCAAGTGGACAGTTGTGTCTTTGCTGGGGAGTATGAAGGTAGGAGGATGTCAGATTGGTGGAACTCCTGTTATGGGCCTTTCAGAGACGGTAGCTTTTCTCAACAATTTGCCTTCGTATTTTTCTGCAGACACTCTTGGGACCTGTGTTATATTTGAAGAAAATGTTGAACATGGTAAGTGATTGCTAGCCCAGCCCTTTTTAATATGAACTATTTCAATCATACTTAAGCACAATAAACATTAAATATCTCATGTATCCATTGTCTAGCTATAGCATGTCCTACCATTTTGCCAAACTTGACTCAGATTATAGTTAAAAAAAAATTCCAGGCTGGGTGAGTGAGCTCAATCCTGTAATCCCAGCACTATGGGAGGCTGAGGCAGGCAGATCACTTGAGGCCAGGAGTTCAAGACCAGCCTGGCCAACATGGCAAAACCCCATTTCTACTAAAAATACAAAAATTAGATGGGTATTGTGGTGTGTGCCCGTAGCCCTAGTTACTTGGGAGTCTGACGTATAGGAATTGCTTGAACCTGGGAGGTGGAGGTTACAGTTAGCCAAGGTCACACCAGTGTACTCCAGCCTGGGCAACAGAGCTAGACTGTGTCTCAAAAACAAACAAACCCCATTCCAGATATATTTGAAGTCCTTCTGTATCCCTTTCCAAACTTATTTCTTTCCCTTTGTCGTCAGAGATGATCACTCTCCTGAATTTATCTTTTTTCTTTTTTTGAGACGGAGTCTAGCTCTTTCGCCCAGGCTAGGGTGCAGTGACACAATTTTGGCCCACTGCAACCTCTGCCTCCCAAGTTAAGGCAATTTTCCTGACTCAGCCTCCCAGGTAGCTGTGATTACAGGTGCCTGCCACCATGCCTGGCTAATTTTTATATCTTTGGTAGAGACAGGGTTTCACCATGTTGGCCAGGCTGGTCCCAAACTCCTGACCTCAAGCGATTCACCCACCTCGGCCTCTCAAAGTGCTGGGATTATAGGTGTGAGCCATCACTCCTGGCCAAGGAATAAAAAAAATGCTACTTAATAGGCAGAGCAGCCTACTTTCTAAAGTGTGTTATCAGTTTACACTCATAGTAGCAATGTATGGAAGTAGGTGCTTCATATCCTTGGCACAAGGGCCTCATCCTCCCTCTTGCCTAGGCATATAGTTTTCTGAAAGTTTCAACTCCAGGCAGCAGGTTGGCAGCAATTTTTTTTCTCAGCCTTTCATGATTGAGAATGTCCCTACTCCATACTTTGGCTTCAAGTATTAAGTCTGACTTTAGTCCTTCATTTTGAGTGGCAGAATTTTAGATCCCAATACCCTATGGGGTACAATTCCTGGCCCCAATTTCCCACTTCAGGGATGAAGCCTGTTAGACCTATGGGTTTAATCTGACTCATAAATCTGTGTTTCTTTCCCATGGAGATGTTTGTTACTTTTGAATCCAGTAGTGCTTTCAACTGTTAATGTATTTTTTTTTTTTTTTTTTTGAGATGGAATTTTGCTCTTGTTGCCCAGGCTGGAGTGCAGTGGTGTGATCTTGGCTCACTGCAACCTCTGTCTCCCAGGTTCAAGCTATTCTCCAGCCTCGGCCTCCTGAGTAGCTGGAATTACAGGCATATGCCACCACACCTAGCTAATTTTGTATTTTTAGTAGTGATGGGGTTTTTCCATGTTGGTCAGGCTGGCCTCAAATTCCCGACCTCAGGTGATCTGCTACCTCAGCCTCCCAAAGTGCTGGCATTACAGGTGTGAGACACCGTGCCCGTCTCTGTTAATGTATTTTATCTGTCATTTTTCTGTGCTTGGAGCAGGTGGCATTAGTTATACCTTGAATTTACTACACTATCTTGATAGGAAGCAGTTTAGTCTGACTCCCTGGAATTATTAAGGCTTCATCATTGTTTTATTTGATGTCATAAGCAGTATACTAATGGAGTACATTTCTGTTCTAGCTGATACAGAAGGCAGTAATAAAACAGTGCTAAAATATAAATGCCATACCATGAAGAAGCTCAGCATGACAAGAACTCTGCTGACTGAGAAGAAGGAAGGAGAAGAAAACATAGGTTAGTTTCTTATTCTCTGAAAATAGGTGATCCAGTATTGTCTTTAACAATGATACATTGATGCCAGGACAGTCCTTGTACTTTGTAGTAATAACTATACATAATGTTTTCTTTTTTTAAGACAGATTCTTGCTCTGTTGCCCAGGCTGGAATGCACTGGGACACACTCAGCTCACTGCAACCTCCTCCTGAGCAGCTGGGATTACAGGCACCCGCCATCATGCCCAGCTATTTTTTTTTTTTTCAGCAACTGCATCTGCAATAATTTTATATTTTTTTGTAGAGATGGGATTTCACTGTGTTGGCCAGGCTGGTCTCAAACTCCTGACCTCAGGTGATCCACCTACCTCGGCCTACAGAGTGCTGGGATTATAGGTGTGAGCCACTGTGGCTAGCCTCATAATTATGTTTAATATATTAAAATTGAGGGTTCTCCATGTAAAGTACCAAGCGTAGAGTTAAAATTCAGTTGAACTCAGATATAATTGAGGGCACTGGGGACATAGAAATCCTTATCTGCTTTGCACTGGAAAGAACTGAGGAGTTTTCAGAGAAACTTGATATCTAAGGCCTAGGGAATTCAGCGGTTCTTCTGCTGTCTCTCTCTCCTCCTTCCCCCTCCCCCTCTTTAATTAAAAATTTTGTTGTATCTTTTTGTAGTTCATAAGGGTGATGATGTGTTTTCACTCATGTATAAGATGTGCCTCCCTCAAACCTTGTTATGATGTCAGCGTATTACCTGTCTGACGTGTGGGGGGAAAATCTTCCTTGTAAGTGAAGTGAATATGATCACAAGAGTTTTGAATTCCCAAGTTGAAATCCCCTGGAAACTTTTTGCAGCTGCAATAGCCTTCCCCAACAGGCTCACAGCTGGAAAAAGCTTTTTTTTTTTTGGGACAGTCTTGCTGTATTGCCCAGGCTGGAGTACAGTGGAGCCATCTTAGCTCACTGCAACCTCCCACTCTGGGTGCAAGTGATTCTCCTGCCTCAGCCTCTGGAGTAGCTGAGATTACAGGCATGCACCACTACGCCTAGCTAATTTTTGTATTTTTATTAGAGATAGGGTTTCACCATGTTGGCTATGCTGGTCTTGAACTCCTGACCTCAGATGATCCACCCACCTTGGCCTCCCAAAATGTTAGGATTACAGGCGTGAGCCACCGCCCCTAGCCAAAAGCTGGCTTTAAATGTGGGAAATACTCTAGGACCACAGTTGTGTTAGTCCTAAGTCTAGTTCTTTTTAAAAATTTTTTATTTTATTTTTTTGAGACAGGGTCTCACCCTTTTACCCAGGCTGGAGTGTTGGGGCCTGATGTCATCTCAATGTGACCTCTGTCCCCCATCCCCCCACCTCGGCCTCCCCAGTAGCTGGGACCACAGGCATGTTCCACCATGCCTGGCTATTTCTTTGTTTTTTGTTGTTGTTGTTGTTTTTGTTTTTTTTGAGATGGAGTTTTGCTCTTGTTGCCCAGGCTGGAGTGCAATGGCACAATCTTGGCCCACCAAAACCTCTGCCTCCTGGGTTGAAGCGATTGTCCTGCCTCAGCCTTCCGAGTAGCTGGGATTACAGGCATGCACCACTATGCCCAGCTAATTTTGTATTTTTAATAGAGACAGGGTTACCCCATGTTGGTCAGGCTGGTCTCAAACTCCCAACCTCAGATGATCTGCCTGCCTCGGCCTCCTAAAGTGTGAGCCACTGCACCTGGCCTTTTTTTTTTAAAATAGAGAGAATACTATGTTGCCCAGCTGGTCTTGAGCTCCTGGGCTCAAGCAATCCTTCCACCTCAGCCTCCCAGAGTGTTGGGATTACAGGCATGAGCCACTGCACCTCGACTTTTAGTCTAGTTCTCAGTTCTTTTTTTTTTTTAGACGGAGTTTTGCTCCTGTTACCCAGGCTGGAGTGCAATGGCGCAATCTTGGCTCACTGCAACCTCCGCCTCCTGGGTTCAGGCAGTTTTCCTGCCCCAGCCTCCCGAGTAGCTGGGATTACAGGCATGCGCCACCATGCCCAGCTAATTTTTTGTATTTTTAGTAGAGACGGGGCTTCACCATGTTGACCAGGATGGTCTCGATCTCTTGACCTCATGATCCACCCGCCTCGGCCTCCCAAAGTGCTAGGATTACAGGTGTGAGCCACCGCGCCCGGCCCTTTTTTTTTTTTTTTTTTTTAATAGACATGGGGTTTCACCATGTTGACCAGGCTGATCTCGAACTCCTGACCTTAGGTGATCCACCTGCCTCGGCCTCCCAAAGTGCTGGAATTACAGGTGTGATCCACTGTGCCCAGCCTGGGTCTAGTTCTTAATTTGCATCCACTTATTCTTCACTCGCTGGTCACCACATACTCAAGACTTTTAGACTAGTGCTTTTTGCACCTGAAACAGACCCATGTTTGTGGAGCTGAACAAATAATCATTTGATGTTTAAAGGTTCACTGCTCAACAACATATTTGAAATTCTGGTAAATAAGATTTTCATGATGAGTATAGCTTAACAGGGAATAAACGTTTGAAGGTACATTGATCTTATAAAATTAATTACATGACCTATATACAACTATATAATAATACTTTGTTCTTATCATGCGTATCCCCAAACTTTGCCCTCCTTTAGGAACCTTGTAATAATTGTAGGAAGAAAGAAGTACTAGGTTCTAGAATAAACTTGAAAAGCTGACATGTATCATAAGCTTAGGTATTGTTGAGATATTCTTATTAAAGGAAGTTATGAGTTTCCTTCTCCTAGTTTTTAAAAATCTGACAGATCTTTGGGAATGTTTGGGTGTTTTGCTTAGTCAAATAAAGGAGCAACCAACAATTCAAGTCTGCATTAGTTATCTACTGCTGCATAACCAATTGCCCTAAATGTAACAGCTTTAAATGACAACAAAAAAACCAGTATCTTACAGTTTCTTTGAATCAGGAATTTCGGAAGAGTTTAGGTAGGTGGTTCTAGCTCTAGGTCTCTGATGAAGTTGCAGTCAAAATGTTATCTGGGCTGCAGTCATCAGAAGGCTTGAGTAATGCTGGAAATCTGATTATAAAATGGCTTATTCATATGGCTTATAAATTTGTTTTGGTTGCTGGCAGGTGGCCTCAGTTCCTCCTCGTAGGACTGTTGTCCTCCTCACAGGACTGTTTGAATGTCCTCCTGATATGGCAGCTGGCTTCTATGAGATAAAGTATTCTACGAAAACAAGGTAGAAGCCACAATGTCTTTTATGAACTAGCCTTAGAAGTTCTTGGCCACAGTCTTGGCCAGGCACAGTGGCTCATGCCTGTAATCCCAGCACTTTTGGAGGCCGAGGTGGGTGGATCACCTGGGGTCAGGAGTTCAAGACTAGCCTGACCAACATGGTGAAACCATGTCTCTAATAAAAAATACAAAAAATTAGCAGGGCATGGTGGTGGGCACCTGTAATCCCAGCTACTTGGGAGGCTGAGGAAAGAGAATTGCTTGAAGCCAGGAGATAGAGGTTGCAGTGAACCGAGATCATACCATTGCACTCCGGCCTGGATGACAAGAGCAAAAATCTCTGTCTCAACAACAGCAACAACAACAAAAAGTCATAGTCTTGACTTTTGGGCACAGTGGCTCTCACCTGTAATCCCAGCACTTTGGGAGACCAAGGCGGGCAAATCACTTGAGGTCAGGAGTTCCAGACCAGCTTGGCCAACATGGCGAGATCCTGTCTCTACAAAAATACAAAAAATTAGCCAGGTGTGGTGGCAGGCACCTATAATCCCAGCTGCTCGGGAGGCTGTGGTGGGAGAATTGCTTGGACCCAGGAGGCGGAGGTTGCAGTGAGCTGAGATTGTGCCACTGCATTCCAGCCTGGGCAACAGAGCAAGACTCTGTCTTAAAAAAAAAAAAAAAAAGTTGTAAGGAAGTAGTAAGTTTCCTTAAAGGCATAAGATGGCAGAAAGTGCTCAAATTGTTTCACAGAATGAGCTGAGAACTGAACTCTGGAAAAAGGCATGGAATAGTCATTGAAGTTGGTAACTTTGGTACCCACCCAATAGGCATTCCAAGGTCTCCAGATAAGATGGAAATTATATTTTATCAGTGGTTACAGATACCATTTTCCTTGGTGTATGTTGGGCTTTCAGTTTGACATGTATTCATAGGACAGAAATTTAAATTAAAGGCCGGGCGCGGTGGCTCACGCCTGTAATCCCAGCACTTTGGGAGGGCGAGGCGGGTGGATCACGAAGTCAAGAGATCGAGACCATCCTGGTCAACATGGTGAAACCCCGTCTCTACTAAAAAATACAAAAAATCAGCCGGGCATGGTGGTGCTTGCCTGTAATCCCATCTACTCAGGAGGCTGAGGCAGGAGAATTGCCTGAACCCAGGAGGCGGAGGTTGCGGTGAGCCGAGATCGCGCCATTGCACTCCAGCCTGGGTAACAAGAGTGAAACTCCGTCTGAAAAAAAAAATTTTTTTTTGTAGAGACAAGGTCTCACTATATGGCCCAGGGTAGTCTCTAACTCCTGGCTCAAGCAGTCTTCCCGCCTCAGCCTCCCAAAGTTTTGGGATTACAGGCATGAGCCACTGCACTTGGCTCCTTTTAATCTTTTTAAGAATTCTGTCATTGAGGGTAGATTGTATTAAGAATGGAGTCCCACTATTATATTGTGGAAATTCCTCCCAATCACCAAAAGGCTTCTTTGTCTCCCTCTTTCAAAGCTGATGCTGATGGGTTGTTGTGCCTCATAAACTGTTTTGAGTCTGAGAGAGGTTTCAAACTTTTAGCTTATTTTCACAGGGTTCAAGCTCTAGACCATGAAGTCATTACTATGATGTCTTCCTTCCTTCCAAGAGAATGGTTTTCCAGTCTATGTGCCACATTATAATATTAAAATTATTGGCTGGGCGCAGTGGCTCACGCTTGTAATCCCATCACTTTGGGAGGCTGAGGCAGGTGGATCACCTGAGGTCAGGAGTTCAAGACCAGCCTGGTCAACATGGTGAAACCCTGTCTCTACTANTAGGTGGGGTGGAATGGCTGCAAATAAAGGATAATGATTTCTCCTACCGACCCAACATGATCTGTAGCTTTCTACATGAAAATGATGACGAAGAAGTGGTAGCTTCAGCCCCAGATAAACCTTTGGAATCGGAAGAGGAAGAGATTCAAATGAAAGACAATTCAAACCTGAGTTGTGAGCAGGAGAAACCACTGCACTTGGAAATAGAAGATTCTGGTACTCTTATTGATATACCTTCTGAGACAGAAGGTTCTATTTTTATGGAAACTCAAATGCTGCCGTAGAAATCTGTCCTAGATGAAATGTTTCTGCTAATAACTTGTCAAGTACTTTTTAGAATTCTTACATAAAAATAATTGCTGTGTAGCTTTCAGTCTTTTAATATTTTATTGCATTTTATTGGCTATACACACATATCCAGTCATAACACAACTTATTTTACCAGAACCATTTGGGACCAGACATGAACTGGATTTTTTTTTTTTTTTTTTTGAGACGGAGTTTCGCTCTTGTTACCCAGGCTGGAGTGCAGTGGCGTGACCACAGTTTACTGCAGCCTTGAACTCACAGGCTCAAGCAATCCTTCCATCTCAGCCTCCTAAGTAGGTGGGACTACAGGCATGCACCACCATGCCTGGCTGGGTTTTTTTGAGACAAAGTTTTGCTGCTGTTGCCTAGGCTGGAGTGCAGTGGTACAATCTCGGCTCACCGCAACCTCTGCCTCCTGGGTTCGAATAGCTGGGATTATAGGCATGTGCCACCATGCCCGGCTAATTTTGTATTTTTAGTAGAGTCAAGGTTTCTCCATGTTGGTCAGGCTGGTCTCAAACTCCCCACCTCAGGTGATCTGCTCGTCCTGGCCTCCCAGAGTGGTGGGATTACAGGCATGAGCCACCACACCTGGCCACCTGGCTGTTTTTAAAAAATTTCTTTTGAGAGATGGGGTCTCACTTGGTTGCCCAGGCTAATCTTGAACTCCTGGGCTTTAGTGATTCTCCTGTCTTGGCTTCTCAATGTGCTGGGATTACAGGTGTGAACCACTGCGCCCTGACAAAGGAGTCTAACATTAATTCCATCTGCAAAGTCTCTTTTGCTAGGTCATTTAACATATACAGGCATAATACTAGGGATTAGGGCATGGAAATCTTTGGTGCCTATTTTTAGTCTACCACAATCTAGGAACAGAAAAAGAATTTTGAAGTGCTTAAGGATAAAGGAAGAATTCCAAATATTCCAGATGTAATTTCGCCCTTTTCCCATTTGAGAAAGATTATTGGAATTCAGCTGTATTAGTCATTTTACTATGGCAGTAAACAAAATCTGTGCTAGTTTATATTTTTTAAGTAAATTATTCACACCCTTTGATACTTTCTTACAGGTTGAGCTGTGTAAATTGCCAATATTTGATTGTTTCTGACTACAAAAAACAGGAATTTCCTATAGTTTAACCTACTGCTAGTAAGTTAAGACATACCTGACATTAATTATATCTCACAGTTGATGATTTAACTATTTTACTTTTTTTTTTTTTTTTTTCTCTGGAAGTTTTGGCTCTTCAGGGTGATTTAACTATTTTAATAGATTAGAGAGCTAATGTTCTGGGATGAAGAATTTTTTTGTTGTTGTTTTTGAGACCGAGTCTTGCTCTGTTGCCAGGCTGGAGTGCAGTGGTGCGATCTCAGCTCACTGCAACCTCCGCCTCCTGGGTTCAGGCAATTGTCCTGCCTCAGCCTCCCGAGTAGCTGGGATTACAGGCATGCATGCCTATGCCTGGCTAATTTTGTATTTTTAGTAGAGATGGGGTTACTGCATGTTGGTGAGGCTGGTCTTGAACTCCTGACCTCAGGTAATCTGCTGACCTCAGGTAATCTGCTCACCTCAGCCTCCCAAAGTGCTGGGATTACAGGCGTGAGCCACCGTGCCCAGCTAAAAGCATTTTCAAATCATAAGCAGATATATTATATCTTCCCAATTTCTATATGACTTTTTAATTTTCTTATTTTCACTCTTGTTGTCCAGGCTGGAGTGCAGTGGCGCTATCTCAGCTCACTGCAACCTCCACCTCCCAGGTTCAAGTGATTCTTATGCCACAGTCTCCCAAGTAGCTGGGATTACAGGCACATGTGACCATACCCAGCTAATTTATGAGACTTTTTTTTAAGTATCAGCTTTTAATAAAGTGCTTATTGTTCCCCCTATATGTATGTTTAGGAGAGAATGCTAATTGCCTGACGCAATTATCTGTTCTCCCTTTTTGGCTTTGTGTTAGAATCCCAGAATTTACTCAGGTTAGCAATGTGATTAGCTTTCCTTGCAGATACATGTGGTCATAGGACTAAGTTCTGGCATTGCCATGGAATAAGAAATGCTGAGTTGTGGGGAAAAAAGAGGCAGAAAAAAGCAAGTGCTGAGTGGTGCTTCTGGGAAGTTTCCTTAAACTTAAAGGCTTAAGAGGAAGCAGGTGGGCTTATCTGTTCCTGCTGAAACATAGATGTGGTAGCTAGAGCTCCAGCAGGATTCTTAGACTTCAAAGTAACCTTGGAAGCAGAAGCCATGAATGGCAGAGCAGCAGTAGAGAAGACTGGATCCTGATATGTGAGATTACCCTGGACTGCTATGAGTAAAGGGTTAATAAAACCCTTTTTCTTTCTCCCTGGTGCAATGACCTCGAGTTTGCCTTTCAGCACTGTTTCTCTGGAAACCTACTAGGCAAGGTAATAATGGAATGTCAGCTATAATATTAGGCAGTATTGTTTATGATTAAAAATGAGCCCTAGCTGGGCGCTGCAGCTCATGCTTGTAATCCCAACACTTTGGGAGGCCAAGATGGGTGGATCACTTGAATCCAGGAGTTTGAGACCAACCTGAGTGGCATGGCAAAACTGTGTCTCTATAACAACACAAAATTAGCTCGACAGGTGGTATGTGCCTGTAGTCCCAGCTACTTAAGAGGCTGAGGCAGGAAGATTGCTTGAGCCTAGGAGGTGGAGATTGCAGTGAGCCGAGATCACACCACGCCACTGTACTACAGGGAAAGACCGTGTCCAAAAATAAAAAATAAAAAAAATAAATAAATTTGTGGTAATTTGTTACTACAGAAATAGGAAATTAATACCAAACGCTTTTTGATTGCTCATGGGAATGTAAGTGGTACAGGTGCTTTGGAAAACAGTTTAGCAGTGCCTGAAAACATTACACTTAAGAGTTAGCTGGGCACAGTGGCTCAGGCCTATAATCCCAGCAACCCAGTCTCGACTAAAGATATAAAATTAGCCAGGCGTGGTGGCACATGCCTGTAATCCCTGCTACTTGGGAGGCTGAGGCAGGAGAATCGTTTGAACCCTGAAGGTGGAGTTTGCAGTGAGTCGAGATCACGTAGTTGCACTCCAGCCTGGGCAACAAGAGCAAAAAACTCCGTCAAAAAAAAAATAAAAATAAAAAGAGTTGGCATATGACCCCGAAATTTTGCTCCTAGAGAATTGAAAACATGTCCACACAAAAACTTGTACACCAATATTCAAAGCAGTTAGCCAGGTGTGGTGGCATGGGCTTGTGGTCCCAGCTACTTTGGAGGCTGAGACACTAGAACTGCTTGAACCCGGGAGGCGGAGGTTACAGTGAGCTGAGATGTGCTACTGCACTTCAGTCTGTGTGACAGAGTGAGACTGTCTCAGAAACAAAACAAAGCAAAACACAACAAAAAAACAAAGCAGCATAATCCATAGTAGCCAAAAAATGTGAATCACTCAAATGTACATAAGTTGGCCGGGCATGGTGGTTCACACCTGTAATCCTAGCACTTTGGGAGGCCAAGGCGGGTGGACTGCCTGAGCTCAGGAGTTCAAGACCAGCCTGGCAAACATGGTGAAACCCTGTCTCTACTAAAAAAATATGACTATTAGCCAGGTGTGGTGGTACACACCTGTAATCCCAGCTACTTGGGAGGTTTAGGCACAAGAATTGCTTGAACCTAGGAGGTGTTGAGGGTGCAGTGAGCCCAGATCATACCACTGCACTTCAGCCTGGATGACAGAACACAACTATGTCTTAAAGAAAAAGTACCTAAGTTGATGAATGGATAAACGAAATGTATATCCATACAAAGGAATATTATTCATTCCTAACAAAATGGAATTACTGATCCATGCCACAAGATGTATGAACCTTAAAAACAGTAGGTGAAAGAAGTCAGACACAAAATGCCATACATTGCACGAATCCATTTATGTTCAGAATAGGCAAATCCATTGAACATAAAGTAGATTATTGGTTGCCAAGCGCTGCCAGGAGGGGACAGTGGGATGTGGACCTGTGTGTGTGTGTAGGTGGGTTATTTTTGAGGTGATTAAATGTTCCAGAATTAGTGGTGATGTTTGCACATCTCTGTGAACACCAAAAACCACTGAAGTAAGTGTGTGTGTGTAGGGAGTTCTTTTTGAGGTGATTAAATGTTCCGGAACTAGTGCTGATGTTTGCACATCTCTGAATACACCCAAAACCACTGAATTGTATACTTTAAAGGGGTAAATTTTATGGTATGTGAATTATATGGTAACTTAAAAAAATTGAAGAAAAATCACGATCAGCAGTATTTTTATTTTGTTTTTTATTCAAAGCAACCACAGAAGAAAGCAGTATATTTTAGGCGCATGTTTTATGTACTAAGCAACTGTTACACTGATCGCACAGTTGTCAACAGTGCCCATTTCACATTAATGTTTTTAGTAATAATGTGAGTACCTACCATGCAATCAATCTTTCTAATGCCCTCGGAGTTCCTGATGAATAAAATCTAGTTTCTGAATACATGTACCTGATTCCAGGTATGCACACTAGCGTGCACATGAAACTGCGAGAGTCTATGTAACTTTTTTTTTTTTTTTTTTTTTTTGACACGGAGTCTCGTCCGTCGCCCAGGCTGGAGTGCAGTGGCGTGATCTCGGCTCACTACAACCTCCGCCATGTCAGTTCAAGCAATTCTTCCTGCCTCAGCCTCCCGAGTAGCTGGGATTACAGGCGCCCGCCACCAAGCCCCGCTAATGTTTGTATTTTTAGTAGAGATGCGGTTTCGCCATGTTGGCAAGGCTGGTTTCGAACTCCTGACCTCAGGTCATCCGCCCGCCTCAGCCTCCCAAAATCCTGGGATTACAGGCGTGAGCCACCACGTTCGGCCAGTGTTACTTAAAAGTATTACCTTGCACCTGTAATTCCCGGGAAAGAGCCGGGGCAAATATCCGTAACCAGGGAAACCCGGCACGTTTCCAATCAAGATGGCCGCCAGCGCCTCTAGGCGCCCTCGGCGCGGCCGTCCCTGGAAGTGGCGTCACGCGCAGCTTCCGGATCCGTCTGTTCCGGCGCGCGTAATC